CTTAAGCAGAAAAGCAGAGTTCTGGGAGCTTTATTGCAGAGGGAAGCAGCCCACTGCAGCAGTGGGTCAGGCTCCCAAGGCCCTGCACTAAGTCCCCCTCTCTGTGGAGAGCATCTTTAGCAGGACAGAGTTACACAAGCACCGCCTGACTTCTGCTCACTTTGGCATCTCCAATACCTTTCTTTTTTCCCCCTTTAAATCCACGCAGCAGGGTGCAGTCTTTTGAGAACCCATGTGCAAGCTCATCTCTTTTCATGCCAGCGCAGCCTTTCCTCCCCTTCCTCTTCTCTCTTCCCTTTCCCATTACTCTCTTCAAGGTCTGAAAGAAAACACTTTTCAGATACTTAAAGGTTACAAGTTAACTTGGTTCAGCAGTACCTAAAAGAAGGCATTTCTGCTCAAAGGAAAGAAAACAAACAGGGTACCTTGTGATCTCCAAAAGCACAGCAGCAGATTTCCGCAAGGCTCTATCCAACATGGAGCAAAGCAAGACCTTACTGAAGATTCTCTTCTGTTTGTTCAAGAATTCCCGAATTATCTCAGGAAAATAATAGCTGGCTTAGTTTAAACAGGTGGTTTAAATTTTGCCTTAAGTCTATTAGGGAAGAGTGCACCTCTGCATACAGAGAGAAGCGCGGTGCAGCAGGAACAGCAACTCCAGGCGAGGCGAGATGACAAATAGCAATTCAATCTCAAGCTGTTTGCAACCTAAATATCTATCCCCAGCTCCATGCAGCAAAGCCCTCATTTGATTTCACCCTGCGTAGATAAAAAGCATTAGACATCACAACACAAATCTCACCAGTACCTTAGGCAGGGCCAGTGTTTAATAGCACAGATTAGCTATGAAACTACTGTAGCAGCAACAGACTTTAATGTGGTCTTGGCTCTGTTTAAACACTGACAGTGATTTTAAGGGACAAGTTCATCCTTGTTCTGCCCTAATTATTTCAACATATTAGCACCTGAGGAATATCTGACTCAACCACCCCCCCACCCCCCCGGTCTAAAGTCATTATTTACGCACAGGCCAGCATGGATTACATGACAAACATGACAGATCACTTCTCTTCTCCTGTAAGAGTGCCATTAAAAATAAAATGAGGATTTAGTTAGCTATTGACTGAACCACTGGGGGGGCAGGAAGCTGAAGGACTTAATGCAGAAAGAAATTATGGAAACTAGAGAGTCAATCCAAGCATTGCCTTAGGTCAGCTCATTTGTCCTCCAGCCAAAGCAGGGCTGTCGCTGCCCCAAGCTCTCTCCAACCACAATGTTTTTGATGTTGGGAACCCATCCATAGCATAGAAGGTGATTTTATTGTCCCATAAATATCCCACTCAGAAGTTCTGCATGCATTCATACAAGCTTCCTTATCTGAACAGCCCCATTCCTGCAAGGTATGCCCACCTTCTGCTACATTTTGCACCCCTGCTATGCCAGCCACCCTGTTGCAATGAATCTCTCCATCTTCTGCACTGCCTGGGTGGTTATTTGGCAATATGCACAAACTTGCGCCTCACATGTTCCCAACTCCTCTTTCTGTACTTGCCAACAGCAAGGCTTGCACTCAAAGCGTTGGTCCTGCCCTAAAAACAAAGGGGAATATGCCTAAAATGAGAAGAGGAATTTATCAGATCCACAGCTGTTATCATTCTTGCTTGGCTGTATTTTAGGTCAGAATAAGAAAATGCCAACAACCCCATACCACACCCCAAACAAAACCCAGCTGCAGATACACCTATCTGGGACACACCACTGAACTTAAAGCAAGTGCTTCAATTTGCCGACTGATGGATGCCAGCTTGGGTACCACAACAAGGACCAAATGAGGGCAGCTCCAGAGCTAAAACCAGCTCTACCACTTGCATTAGAGCCACAATACTCCTGCTCAGGCTACAAGCTACTGGGTCTGGAAAGCTGGGGAGTACAGAGCATAGATGTGCTAACAGAGGAAAGCTCTTTCACAGGAAGGTGACAAACAGAGGTTCAATTTGCCCACAGACACCTTTCTCCCACTCCCCAATTCCCACCTTGTCTTCCCATGCCTGTTTGGGAAGCAACTGCTCAGTTACTCCCTAAAGAGCCTTCTTCACGTCTCCATCCACCCATCCTTTCATCTCTCCCTTCAGTTGCCTTGCCAGACCCCAGCCCTGGGCTACAGAAATCACTGGCCTCTCACAGCTCTGCTCTGAAGCACAGAAGATGATGAAGCTCAAGAGGCAGCAAATTTATCCCAGCTCTGGCTCTTCCCAGCTCCCTTCATCTCACCAGTCTTTGGGTCCCTCCATACAGGAGGCTGGGAGACACTCAAGCATCCCAGAGCAGTTTGAACTTCTTTTTGCAACAGTTCTGGAATGGGCAATTTAATACAGTGTAGGGCACATAGGTGATGCTGATAAAGCAAATCAACAGCATCAAACCCAATGATCTTAAGGTCCTTTCCAACCCTAACTATTCTATGATTCTTTGATAAGAACAGGACTAAAATACAAGAGAACTGTACAGAGTATGACCATGAAATCACCGAGCCCTGAACCCCCTTCCAGAAACTCATTAATAAGGAATTGGGGAAACAGTAAAAGACCAAAGGAAATATTTACTGCTGCCTTCCTGGTATATTCTCTCTGCTGCCAGCAATTGGCATCTTGGGGACTTCTTGAATCACAAATAATGCATACATTGCATTTAGGTCTTTGCAGACTCAAATTACTCAAGAGGAAGGGCCCCTTGGCTAATCTGTGCTTTTTAACAGTAATCACTCACCTATTGAGTGATTTCTAGCTTTTGGTCCATTTTTATACATCTCTGTTTTGGTTGCTGAGAGACAAAATTTCATCTTATTAATAGGGTGTATTTCTGAGCTATATTTTAATTTTCTTCTTGCTGTAGTAAATATAGCTTGAAAATGCTAGTATGCATTAGCACAAGTCTTTTTAAATCCAACAAATGTAGTAAGTTTGAAAAAAAATAACAAAACAAGCATAAATTCCAACACATATTTGTAAATATATATATATATATCTCAGGTTGAGGCTAAAGCATCTTTCTACTACCTAAAGGATCATATAAGAAAGCTGGTGTCCTGCTGGTGTTTCTGAGATGTTCCACATCCCTGAATACGTTCAAGGCCACGCTGGACAAAGCTTGGAGCAACCTGCTCTAGTGGAAGGTGTCCCTGCCCGTGGGAGGGGTTGGAACTGGATGAGCTTTAAGGTCCCTTCCAACACAAACCAGTCTGGGATTCTATCAAAGCAGAATAAAATAAAGTAAAAAGATATCCCCAAAATTGCATTACTTAAATAGAAACCCCTGGCCATGGATTCCTTGCTTTTTCTCCCCACATTCTATACCAATATTTCCCGGAACAGTTCCCAGCCTACGCTTTTAAATTATCACTTCATTTCCAGTACCTTCTCTCCACAGCAAGGAAAATCACTGCTGTATAACTTCTTTTACAGCCAAGATGGGAAACCCTCCATGAGATTACCCATTCCCTTCCCTTGTAAAATAGAGAGGAAAATGTCATTCCAGGAAATAGAAACGTTAAAAAAAGGCCAATGAAACAAAGGCAACTCCTGCACACAATGTTGTTCTTCCCCTCTGAGTCAGTAATAAAGAGGAAGGAAGGAAAAAACCCAGATAAAACAAATGCAAGGAGGAGGTGTGGATGCAGCATGTTTATCCCCGCGGAAGAGGGGAGGCTGTAAGAGGCCGTGCAGCGCATACGGACACCCCAACCACCGCCTTGGTGTTTACAAACATTTTGATGCAACCAAACAGGGAGTTTCATTGTCCCCACTGCACTCATGTCACTCGTCCCCCAGCGCTGAGATTCCAGGAACAGGCTGCCAGAGGACACACAGTGCCAGTTACACAAGAGAGGCGCAGAAGCAAACATGCAGCAGAAGGAAAGGAGGAGAAATAAGATGAACCAGCTCAGATGCACGCTCTCTTCCTGATCTCACCAGCCTCCAAGTCAGGCTTTGGAGCAGATTAACTTTAAAGGGCACCGAAAGATGCTGACAGATCTGAGGCGAGCAGGACCCCTCTGTCTGCACACACAGCACAAAATTAGACGGCTGGGGACCACAGCGATGATGCAGAAGGGGACAAAACCTTCTGATGTTATGTATCACTAGTTATATTGCACTAATATCATCACACTGTTCAAGTCAAACTCTGAACTGCGCCTCGCAAACAGGAAGGGTACAGGGAGACAAAAAAGCCATGCTAAAATGAAGCTCTGCTGGAGCACAAAGTTTTCACGAAGTTTAAAATATACACTTCTTGTATTCAAGATAAAAGGGAAAAAGACCAGAGTGGTAGTTTGGAAGTTGAAATAAATCACCAAGCAATGATTTTGAAGATGGATACTCGTGATATGACTTGGAAAAGGAGCCTGGACCAAGCATACACAGCCAGAACTAAGCCAGCTCAACCCAAATCCCCCTGAAAAAGGGGAGGAATGCGGGTGCCAAAACACAGAACCCGGACGACACAGCGCCGCAGCCCTCGCAACCCCATCCTGCTACAGACTTGAATTATTCAACTCTTTAGCAGTCTTTATTTTGCATTCCCCAGGAGCCCCGGGTCTCGCAGGCGCTCAGCACCAATTTACAGACACCAATTAAAACCCTATCTTATTTTCCGCTACTATATAGCGCAGAAGACAAACGGGACAGCGTATGCGTCTCCCGCCCGGTGTCAGCGGTATTTCGGGATGCCCGGAGCTGCGGGACGCGCAGCGCGGCCGCGGAGGTACCGCGCCTGCCCAGCGGGCAGGGAGGGGTGCTCTTCTCCGCGGTATTTCTCCGATTTAGAGGTTTTGCGGCTTATTCCCCCCCCCCCCTTTTCCAGCAACAGCAGGGAAAGGCAGCGCAGCCCCGCTCGGCACCGCTTATCCCCGCACAGCATAGGGAAGCGCATCGGGAGATGGTGGGGGGTAAAAGGAGAAGGAAAAACACACACACATTACAGAAAAGGAGCGCAGAACTCACCTGGTTTGGGATTTTTCCTCCCTCTCCACGACCATAAAACGAGGCGGGAGCCAGGAGCCGGTCACCGGCGATAGGAGAAGCTGCCAGCCGCGGACCCCACGATGGGGATAGCGGGGCCGGGTGCGATGCAGCCCTCACGCTCCGGGGTAGGTGTTGGAATAACCCCGCTGCGGTGCAGCCCCCGGGGATGGGTGCAAGGCAGCCCGCTCCCCCGGGATGGGTGCTGGCCGCCCGCCCGCCGCAGGGCAGCTCCCGGGATGGGTGCAGCGGGGCTGGGCACAAGGCAGCCCAGCTCGGGGATAGGTGCTGAGGCCACCTCCCCGTGCAGCACCCCGGGATGGGTGCTGAGCCACCCTCGGGCCAGGACAGCCCCCGCGGGACGGGTGCAGCGGAGCTCGGTGCAAGGCAGCGCTCTCCAGGGATGGGTGCAGGGCAGCACCCCGGGCTGCAGCAGAAGCAGGCGGCCCTGGTGCTGGGGGCCGGAGCAGGAGCGGGCCCCCCCCCGGCCGCGGCAGCGGGAGGCGGCACCAGCGGAGCACAATGAACGGCGGCGCCCCCGCGGCCGCCCGCTGGGCAATGACATCACCTCTCTCGCCCGCCGGGGCGGGGCGAGCGGCACGGCCGCCGCCTCCCCATTGGCTGGGCCCTGACGGCAGCGGGGGATTCTGGGGCTTGTAGTTTTGTGAGGGGAGTTTCCGATGAAGAAGGCGTTGGGTGAGGACTACATTTCCCGGCAGGCACCGCGCTGCGCGGCTGCGGTCGGGAGGGAGAGGGGCTGAGGAGGAAGGTGATGTGGCCGCCATGTTGATGGCGTGGGACAGTTTTAGCTCGGGAGAAGCGGCCGGGCCGCCGGGTTGAAATGTCGGCAAAGGGGGAGGATGGGAACCAGGTTTGGGCTCAGGGGTGGACAGAGCTTGTGTGTAGCGGGTAAAAGAAGGGGGAGGCTGCGGAGTCGCCCAGCGGGCGCTGCGGGTTGTGTCGTGCAGGGCCATGAAGGACATGGCGTAGCGGGCGGTTGTCTCTCGGTGCCCGCTGGTTCTGGGTAGGGTAGTGCAACGCCATGTGGGGAGTGAGGCAAAGGCAGGAGTCCGTTTGGGAGCTCACCCCTTTTGCGGGCCAGAGGGGAGCCCGTGAGCCCGTGGCAGCGGGGCCCTGCGGCGGGTAGGCCTCTGCAGCGAGGGAGCGGCGCCCGCTGAGGTGGGTCTGAGGGGGGAGCGGTGGGTGGCTGCTGGGCACGGCTGTGAGGGCAGGCGGCTGCGGATCTGTGCTGGGACGGTGCTTAGTTGCGGAGGGGAGGCTGCTGCGTGCGGTGCAGGGAGCCGGGGCGGCTCCGGTGGCTGTCGGGGTTGTGTCCCTTGCGCCCTGCGGGGACAGGGGCTGTAGCTACCCAAGTGTTCGGGCGTAGACTGTGGTTTACAGAGCGGCGCTGAAGCCTTGGTTTGGCCTTGGTGGGGAGGCCCTCGGCAGGGAGCGGCTGGGACGTGCCCTTACCGCACAGCAGGTGACAGTCCGCGCTTGCTAGTTTGGGGCTCTTTTAAGGGTTGTGGCTGGTGCCTGATAACTGTATTAATAGTGTTTGGGTGTCAGATAAACGTGGCTTAATGTGACCAGCAGGAGGAGCTTTGTTCCCTCCTAAAGGCAGCTGTCGTCGGTGCGTCTGAAAGAGGGTGTATTTAGAATTAGATACAAGGAAGAAGCTCTTCCTTGTGAGGGTGCTGAGGTGCTGGCACAGGGTGCCCAGAGAAGCTGTGGCTGCCCCATTCCTGGCAGTGTTCAAGGCCAGGTTGGACGAGGCTTGGAGCAACCTGCTCTAGTGGAAGGTGTCACTGCCTTTGGCAGGGGGTTGGAACTGGATGAGCTTTAATGTCCTTTCCAACACAACCCGTTCTGTGATTCCATAGCGACATAAAACAACCTTGAAAAAGCTGAGAGAATGGATGTGATATTGTAAGACCTGTCAGCATGGTATGGGAGCAGACAAGCTAACTTTGCTCCCTGATTTCTTATGTATGCTTGTTGTCTAGTGTAGGCATGGCTTAGCCAGCTGACTAGATACTCTCTGAGTTTTAGCATACCCTCTGGCTGGCATCTAGAAGGTAGGATAGGTTTTGAGCAGCGGGTTGTAGACTCCTTGTGCTGAACACCATCCCTGTCCTAGTTTCTGTTAGGGAAGGGGGGATGATCTGCTCATCAAGTGAAAGATTTAACTAATCTCTGTTAGGCTTAAGGGGACTGGAGTTGCTTGAAATAACATGTAGAAGATAACGCCTTTGATATGGGAGGACACTCAAAGTATTGCATGTTTTGTGAAATAACCCTTTCTAGTTACAGCTGATTTCCTGTGCAATAAAGTACTTTATTAATTCAAGAAGATACTCTACTGAAAGGAGATGTGATGAATTTTACAAGCTTGCTGGAAGTCCTGGCTAAAGTCTAATAGTGGTATAGGCCAGGAAGAATGGGGTTCCAAGGTTTTTATTTCATACTTTGGCTCCTCCTGGAGGTAAGTACAATGCATTTGCTTAGGATATTGCTTCACAGTAACTACAGAGATGCAGTAGTCTTGTATGTTCCGGGATGCACTTGAATGGTGGAGGAATGATGTTATGAGATACTCTGTGATGCACTTACTTCACCAGAATCTTGCTGCCTTTCAAGATATGTTGGTGTTACAGCAGTGTGCGCCATTCTTTTGTCTGTTTCAGTCCACACTGCTGTAACTTTCAGTAATGGTTGCATACACCTGAAAGAGTTCTGAATTACAAGCACAGCTTCTTCTGTTTCTTCTCTACTCCCTTGCTTCTCTGTGCAGACACTTTCAGATTACATGTGACACTGCGGACTTTAACCCTATGCTTGTACAATGCAGCTTATACCAAGTAATGATGGTAAGTATTGCAGTGGACTAACTGGGGGGAAGCTTGGTTGTCTTTTCTGTAACTGGCAGAAAAGGAGTGAAATCTGTCTGCTGGCCTAATGACAGTTTGCTTTCTTATTTAAACTGGTTGAGAAAAAATTGGTTTCACCTCTGTTGATTCCTCTCTCTTCTTACCCTCTGTGTCAGTGCTGCTGCTCAAGGGAGGAGACAAGGATGCATTCTGCTTTCCAGATAATGTTTCATTGTTTATACCATGTTTCTTTGAGGATGCCTCAGCTAAGAGTTGCTATAGCATGTTGAAATGCAGAAAAAAAGAAATAAACTTCAGAAAAGACCCAAAGTAATGCTTGTTGCAGGAGCCAAAATAGGTTTGTGTGCATGCTCACTTTTATCAGTTTGGGGTATCTGATACTTGTCAGTGTATCTTACTGATCACAACTTGTCAAGAGATGTCAGTGATGAAACCTGTATTACATGTCTGAAACTTGGATGCTTTATTCAGCTGAAGTGCTAATGTCTTGAGTCTGCTCTGCCCCAACAGGCCTCACTTGCAAGATCCACAAGAAGCTTGCAGAAACAAGCATTGTTTCAGCATTTCTTAAGACAGAAGGTGATGATAGAATTCGAAGTCTTTGGCATTTCTTAAGCACATTGGTATGCTCTGGTTTAGTACTGTTGACAAAAACTTATTCTGGCATTCTACACTGCAGAAAGCATGGGTTGTCTTTGCTGCTGCAGTGATTTTAGTCACAGTGGACTCAGGTAAGGAACCACCCAGGGTCTTGGAGACCAGGATAAGTGTTTGGAAGATCCTGCTGGAGGGAATCATGGAATGGTTGCGGTTTGGAGGATGCAGATCAGCATAAGTAGGAATGTGTGATGCCTTTGATGGGAGGAGAAATTGCTTACTCTTTAAGTTCATATATTAAAAACCTGGCTTCGTGTCTCAGCTTTCATTCTCACAAGGTCTTGCTCTTCATGAAAACTTCAAGGATTTGAATACTCTAAATTGAACCTTCTGGGGATAATACACCAAAACCACACAGTCTGCATGAGAAGCACACATGAGATTTGAGTGTACAGAGATGTGATAACACAGCTTTTAAGGTGTGTGATGTTCTGCTGTCAGGGTCTCAACATCCGTGTGAGTGCAGAGTTGGGGACTGGAGGGATGTTGGGGTTGTCTCAGTTCTTGCACATCAGTTGTCAAGCCTGATGTATGCAGATTAGATGGATAAAAAGATGTTCAGGTGCACTCACAGAGTGGAATATGGTTTCTAAGGGTGATTGATACGATCTATACTAGTTTTGGCACTTTTGTTTTAAAATCCCATGATCTTGATTCTCCCAGTTATAAATTGTAGTGTCCACAGTCCCCTTGGAGGAGGGAGGAGAGCTGGAGTGTTGCGCGCCAACTGCTTACTCCATAGCCTGTGGGGGCATGCTGTAAAGTATGTTAAAGGCAGTGCTCAGAGTCTGGAGGCTGAAGAAACTGCTACAAAGGGTTTTTGTTTGCAGTTATCTCCCAAAGAGCTGGCAGAGCTGCAAGCTGAAAGGTGAGAATTCAGCTAGGTGGAACAGGTGAGTACTTCTGTATCTGTTAATGCTTCCAGGTATCTTAATGATACACACTTGTGTTGTCTATCTTGTTCTTGAACAGGGAGCACTTGGAAAGACCCAGGTAAGAGTGGAGGACTTCCGTGCCCTTTCAAATGTTCTTAATGAAGTTGTGGGGAGGCAGCTGCTAAATCACTTTCTGGAAGAACCTTGTATTCCTGCGTAGCCAACTGGATTGTAAAGCTTCTCTGAAAGTAATTCTAGTGGCTAACTATAAAGTGTTCACCTTTTTTGTCTTTCAGCACAAAAAGAGTGCTTCAGGAGCAGTCAAGAACCTTTTCAGATAGCATGGACATGTTCTTCAAGTGAAACATGGGAACAGTTTGATAGCAGTAGCGCAACAGGCAGGGGTGTGCAGGCTGCTGTGAGTCCCTGGTTCATAAGAACTGGTATCCAAAAGAACTCCGGTAGAGAGAAAAACTCCATTTCTTCCACAACTTTCAACTTGCTTGGGTTTAAATGAGAGCTCACCTCACACTGAAACAGGAAATCACTTTTACTGTAGATACTAGAGAAGGTAATTGAAACAGGGCTAGTCAGAGCATTGTGAGCCTTGGAAAAACTGCAGGTAGTTGAAGAACCTCTAGTTGTGGTGAGGGCAGACATTGTTTAAGGGCACATGAGCAGTGGGGGAAACCTTTGACCAGAGGACACTCAAAAGCTGAGGATGTTACTGCAGCCATTTCTTAGCTATGTACAGATAATGTCTCTTCAGGTGAGGTGGCCCAAGATAAACACTGAAGACTGTAGGGTGTAGGCAGGTCACACTTGTCTTGAGAGCGTACACACCTTGAACAGCTTCAGGTTTTGTCAGACAAGCATTTACTAATCTAAAAACAATAGCTCTGCAGGGGTTGGGTAGACCAAAGTCATGCACCTGATGGCAGCACTGCTCTGAAGGTGAGCCTTCCCCAGCTATGTGCTGTGAGACATATGTTCACAAATGAGTCCAATGGGCTTCAGGGCTGAGGGTAAACACTTGGGTTGCC